TGAGCATTTCTTCATCAGAGTCGGAAGAATTCTTCAGAATCCTCTCTTTAATTAAAAGGATATCAAATAATTGTTTTTTTATTTCAAGGTCTATTTCTAAAGCATTTATTTTCTTTTTCATACGACATTTATTTTTATAATGTCCTACTTTCCCACAGTTATAGCAAACTGCTATTTTCCTTTTTCCCTTTTGTTTAATGATCTTGTAAAATTTTTTTAGGAAAGGTATTTTTCTTTCCTTTTGAATATCTAGACTTTGTCTTTCTAGAATCTCTTTTGTCTCTAAATTTCTGTTTGTGAGAGAGCTTGGAAGTAGGTATTGTGTTAAAGCCGAATTGCTCACAAAATCTCTCAATTCCTTTTTTCCCGTCATTCTTTTTTTCTCCAATTGTCTTTTCAATTTTAGTCTGTGCATAAAGCAAGACCTTCAACACAAATTTCTGCTGATAATTCTCGAAGAGTATACAAAGAATAAAGAATAATTCCTCCATGCTTATTTTTCAATCTTATCTTAACTCTTTTCCCAAACAAATGAGGAAGTCCAGTAATGAATTTTTCTTTCCAATGGTTAGCTTTACTATCTTCTCTAGATAACAGTCTGGAATAAAATACATCTTTATACCATTTGTAATGTGATAGAGTTGGACAATGAAGATTTCAAAGTAGATCCTTAGATCTAGCTGATAAAAAGGCCGTACTCCCCATAAAGTGAAGAGTAATGGTATATATTAAAATATTTACTGCATCTCCATCAGTAACTATATTCTCAAGGACCTGTCCAGGTCCTACCTCACTTTTAAAAGCCCATTGTTTAGTAGCATTTAAGATTTGATTTTTTGCTTCTTCGTCCATATGAAAACCCCACCATCCTCTAAGTAATCCAGCAAAACCACATATAATGGCTTTAGCAATTTCGTGGCTTTGGTTTCCACGTGCTTTACATGCGGTGGCATATATAGTCATATGTTTCATGAGATCGAGAATTTAAGTCTCAGACATCCCATCTATATTCCACTTTACTATAGATCGTCCTGAACAGGAGACTGAAGTAGTAATGAGATCATCTTCTATTGTAGATCTACAGGAGTGGGCCTAGGATAATACATTCTTGTTGGGGCTACATGCCTAGTTGTTCTCCCATAGTCAATCCTATTAAGCTTTAAGCTTTCTGGTTTAAAAGTTTCTTCTATTTTAGATATTTCAAGATCAGAAAAACTTTTGTCTTGTTGAAGTACTTGGATATTACCCGATTTTCCTTTAATATCTAATTTTTCGAATCTTTTCATCAACTCATCTACCAATTCTTTATTGTCTTCTTTCTTTTTAATTCCTTGCAGGTTAAACTTTCCTGCGGCAATACTTGGAGGTGGTTTGAATAAAACTGCACTCTTTTCTTTATCTTATTTCTTCTCTTGAGGTTTTATTTTATTTAAGACGTTTTCTATTCTATTGCTCTGTTTCCCTATAGTCTGTAGGAATAAATTTGTATAATTATTCTGTTCTATTATATGGGATATGGCTTCAATTTTAGCCATCTGGTTATCAGAAACTTTTGGTCCAATTTTGAAAGGTGAAGCTTTTGTCTTGTTTTTCTCCTTTTAGGTTTAGACTAGTTTCAAGAGGATGGATAGCTTCAATGCTTTCTCCTTTAACTGTATGAAAGGTGTTTTGAACAGTATTAATATTTTGGATAGTATTATCCTGAAATTCTGGGTATTTTATTCCTTCCTTTTTAAGGATATACCTAAGTCGTTTAAAAATTTTTATATTTGTTTTATGTTGTATCATGAATTTATTAAATTTACTATGAAAGAGTTCTTTCAGTCTTTCATTAAATTCTTCGAGGAACCATTCCCTTATTTGTTTATTTTCTTTAGACAGAAAATCCCTTTTTACCCAGTCTTTATCTATGACAAACTTATCTTGGGTTTGAATTGTCAGAATTTCGAAATCAAATTCAGACATGGTTGGCTCATCAGGTTTAGTCTGAGAAGAGCTGGGAGTATTTACAGTATAAACCGGATGTTATACCTGTTTTTCATTTTTTTTTAATCCTTCTAAAATGATTTTGTCATCATGCGCTTTTTCATAATTAGATTGAGGTACTGAAGAAGTCAAACTTCTAGAAGGAGTATAAGTTGCAGGTACAGTATTCTTGGCAGGCAGCCTAAGAGCTAAAACAGTATTTGGAATACTCAATTTGGTTTTTCTAAGGGATGGAAATTGGATTTCAACTTCTCCATTTGGATATTCAATTATTTGTTCTGGCTCTTTATTTTCAGGAATAGGTAAACGAGTCTCAGTTTGTACAGACCAATTTTCTGGTAAGTTTACCTGCTTTCAGTATATAGCTTTGGGCGTGACAAGAATAGATTTTTCCATATTAGTTTGAAAAAATATTGTTTGTCTTTTTTTATCCATTAATCTTGTATTAGGACAAAGAGTGTTCATGACCTTATAACAAATTCTATAAACAAAAGCCAAGTTCTGGGATCTAGGGTCCATGTCAAAACCTTGAGTTTTAAGGTTAAGAGTTAGAACTTTTAATAAATTTGGATTGGATAGGTACACAGAAAAATTTGGAAAGCAGTTGAAATATATAGGTCCATTGCAAACACTCGACTCAACGATCCCTAAAAGAGTCACTGAATCTTTTATGTCTACTATGTCATAGATAGAGTAAAACCGAATTATTTAGTCCTTTTTAGTTAATGGTTTTACTACTATTTGTACAAGATCTACATGAAGATAGTTATAACCCCTTTTGATATGATCTGCAATCATTCTAGTTGAAAAGAGTTGAAAGCTATCTTGATTTTCCATAACTGAGAGTTTCTTCAATTGTTTTTATTGAAAAACTGCTTTAAACTCAAATATTCCTTTTTTATAAATATCATTTGTTGGGACCTTTGGGATATTCCAGTTTTGCAATTGTTTCTCAATATTATCTATTATTATTTCTTCTCTATTATTTACTTGTAGAGTATTATTACTAGAACTACCAGAAGCGGTTCTATTCGATAATGTTTTAAACAAATTTGCCATTTCATCTTAGTTTTCGTTCCGAGTCAACCGGAAACAGTCCCTGCACCTTTTGGCCTTCCTAGCTCACGGTGGTCTTTGGGTCACAGCGACTTTAGGTATGTTAACAAGATAAAATGTACAAATTGGTTCAGTTTTCTACTGAATAAACTCGGCTCTGATACCATAAATAGCGGAAGAAGAATAAAATAAAATTCATAAAGAGGAAAGAGTAACATTCATATATAATAACATTGATTTATAAAAAATGAACACTCTGACCATGGAAGAAAATCTCATAATTGACCTAATTGATAAAATAAGATTATGAAGATATTAATTGTCAGTGTAATTTCTTGAATGGCCTAAACTTAAATACTCTGACCAAGGAAGAAAATCTCATAATTGATCTAATTGATAAAATAAGCGACCCTGAGGATAAAAGAGAAGCCTTAATTCATTATATCAACATGGCCAAAGAACCTTCAAGTTCTCTTGCTCCTAAACCGACTCTTGTTCCTACTAACGAAGATTACAACTTTAGTGATATTTTGAAAAGAGTTCAAAATAAACTCAAAACCAAAAAGAACCTGCAATTCCATATATATATATATATGTATGTATGGAAGATACTACAAAACGCCTATAGGCGAAAATGAACAGTGATTTCGCCTACTTTCATCACCATCCAAACTTCATCGCACGGTCATAGTTGTCCGGTAGTGTTTCAATTTTCAATTTTTTTTTTACTAATCGAAATGATATGAAATTTGGAGCTTGTGTACATCTTAGTGAGGTGTACTAATAAAAATATGAAAAAAATAATTTACAAAATATAAATTGACCAAAATACCTCTGAAAGTTTACGGGGGTATTTTTGTCCATTTATATTTTGCGAATTATATTCTTCATATTTTTATTAGTTGCACCTCACTAAGATGTACACACGCTCCAAATTTTAAGTAATTTGGATTTGTAGAAAAAAAATGAAAATTGAAACACTGCCGGACAACTGTGATGAGGGTAGGCGGAATCACTGTTCATTTTCGTCTATAGGCGTTGGGAAGAGCTTTCCTATATATATATATATATATATGTATATATATAGGGTGCGGTTTGTATAGAGCCGAGGCTCTAAACAATCAAAGTAAAGCGCACCTTCAAATAGTGTTAAGATATGTGGTTTCAATACTGGAAATCTTTGTGATAGCCTTAAAATTTATTGTCATCTTTAATTATAAAATTTAAAGCTTAAAAAATAGTGTATATCGAGCAGATCTATGAAAACTTGAAAATCTTGAAAATTGACGGTCCAAAAATATGTTACAAGATGCACCATTTCCAAAACTTGAAATCTATTTTTTTTCTCATGTCCATGCATCTTGATGTCGAGATGATCAATTTGAGGTTATTTGGGCATCAAAACAACCTCTTTTTTGTGAAATTTTTGAGGTGGGCTCTAATTTGATTGTTTAGAGCCTCGGCTCTGTATCAAATTTTTCCATATATATATTTATATATATACACATATATTGTTTTACACTGGTTCCATGCCGTATATATATACACATATATTGTTTTACACTGGTTCCATGCCGTGTAAAATATTATGAACCTGAGTGATTGATGAGATGTTTGAGCATAATGCACTTCCAACATTGTGTTTGAGCAAGAACTTTATGCACCTCCAATTAAGTAATTTGTTTAATTTGGGAAGTCAATCTCGCTTTCATTCTCAAACTTAATCGATGTCGTGATTCTCAACCGCCATATATATTGAAGCTTTCATTAGTATAAATGATGTCAAATGTCAAAGCAAAGACTCATTATCCCTAGTTATGCCGATCTAGTGGAATTCCTGCATTGAAAATTTCATGAGATTTGTTTGCCTTATTGTGTTTCTTTCAATAAAATTTCTATTAATGCTGAGGCCACTGCAATATCGTCTTGACCTTTGTAGCCGATAATTGTGAAAGCAGGTGTCTTGTTCACTATGCAGTGAGACAGTTGAGCGTGAAGTGCTAACCCTACATAAAGGTGAAAGGTGCCCTCAGAGGATTGTCACGTGTGAGTATTGCGAGTTCCCATTGCCTGTGGTCGATCTCTTCAAGCATCAGGTGAGATCTGTTGGATATTGATTTTAATCGGAACAAACTTTCAGTTGTAACAGCAATAGCTCTCTTTGAAAAATGTTTCAATTTTTTTTTTTTTTATTGTTTTCCAGGAGGTATGTGGGAACCGGACGGAATATTGTGAAATTTGTTGCAAATATGTTAGGCTCAGAGAGCGGTTGGACCATGAAAGACAATTTCATAGCGGCACTCCTGGTGTTCCTGCTGAACCTTCCAGGTGGATATTATTTCATTTTGGGGTTTTTTCTCATTGCGGATAGCGTTTCATATAATCCATAGATCATTTATGGTTTTTTGGGAATCTTTATGCTTACAATTGCTCTGAAAGTTTTATGCACAAGAGATAACTGACTAGATTTCTTCTGTTTGGGATGGGAACACTTGGAAGACTCATGACTGTCACACCCTGCCTTCTTTAATCCACCTTGTTTGCACTTCCCATTCAGTGTGGGAGACAGGAATTGAGCATTGGACGACCATATTGATTTGAACACTCTATACAAAATTGGTGATTATGCCCTTCTATTAGGAGGAACTAGACTAACACTATTATAACTCATTTTGTTGTTACGATGCGAGGATAAGTGGCTTGTTCAATCTGTTGCATGTTGCAAAGCGATGAATAACAGAAGCATTTTACTTATTCAAGTATGTATCTTGCTTGAGGAGGTATTAGTAATTGTAAGCTCCACATGTGTTTTGTGGCTAAGCAGTTCTATTCTAAGTTGTAGGACTCAATATTTAGCAATTGTTTGGGCTGTTATTTGCTATGACTTGTACCTTGTCCACTCATTTCACAGAAAACTTGATGATATTGATACTGGTATTATTATTGACTGAATATGTAGGCTGGTAGACATTTACATAGATTCACATGTCACACTGACAAACACATGTTTACTTTAACACTAGTTTTCAAAACCCATTTCAAGTTTTTGTGAACTTGAGCTGCAGGGTCCCATTATGAAAACTTGGGTCTGGCCGAGTTTTTCAGTTCTTAAACTAAATGTGATGGATGGGATACCTCGGAGTTTTGTGTACCAATCGCATTAGCCTTGATTGATAATGCGACTGGGATACTGTTTGTTGACCCTAAAATGCCCCCTTGAGACTTTGGCACCACCTTTGTGTTGGAGTGGGCAGGGGTCCTTACAAGAATGAGGCTTCATTTTTCTCTACATTCAAGGACCCCTTTTGTGTCATCATATGGACAAAGATTCCTCACACTCTTAGCTCTCACAATGGGTGGGTGCAACAGCAGACCAGGATAAAGTGGGTAGAATAGTGAAGGACATTGACAGACTTGGTACAAGCCATTGAACTTTGGCAGGCTAAAGAGCATAGGAAAACAAGCTGATCAAAGATAGATGTCTCACCACTTCAAATCCCGCAAACAGAAGGTGATGAGCTTGGCAATATGTTCATTGGCGAAATGATTCACGGTGCCCAGAAATGGATAACCATCACAACCATCAAAGTTGGAGTTGTCCATTGAAAGGTCTTTTCCAACGTAGGTTCAAGATCTGACTTCAAGGGCCTTAGAAAGTCCTTGGTTCCATCCCATATATGGATGGCATGTGCAGAGAGAGCTAAAGCTATAGATGGAGCTCTCCTGAAGAGGGAGATCCTGGTAGGAGATGTGCACGCTCGCATAGGTGATGTTTGTGAAAACTTTGATTTCATAATCGTGGATGGCCTAGAATGTGATAGAGTTCTAGGGATGGCTTTCATCGCAAAAATCGGGCCCATTTTTGTGTCAAAGGAATCAGTGGCCACCTTAGGAGAAAAGTAAGTTCTTTTCTATTTCTCTGTCCCTCCATTTCCGTCAGCCATTGCGAGAATTACCAGAGAATGAGTTGGGCATACACTACCATCACTAGTGTGCAGAACGATATTCCGCACGTACAGATTAGATCGCAGCTTGCAGAAATGTGCTATCAAAAGTACATAGAGGAGATCATGTAGTGCTTTGATACTGTTTGCTCTCTAAACCCTGAAGTGTTATGGGAAAAGCATTCGTGGGTGGTTCACCTCTCATATCAACCTCTCATATCAAAAGGATTTTTCAGATAAACAAATCCCTACTCGAGTTAGGGCAGTGCAAATGCCGTGGGAGGTCCAACAATACAACAAGGAGATCCAAGACCTCCTAGTAAAAGGTCTAATATGACCAAGCAAAAACCTGTGGTCCTATCCAACATTTCTTTGTGAATAATCGAAATGATCAGAAACAGGGGTTTCTAGGCTTGTGATCAATTATAGGCTACTCAATGATATTGTGGAGTGGATTCGCTATGGGGTCCTAAACCACCAAAAGCTCATTAATTGTATTATCGATGCCAGAATATTCAACAAATTTGACCCCAAATCGGGTGTTTGGCATGTTAGAATTGCTTAGAGGGATCGGTACAAGACATAGTTACCAAAAGCGATTTGGGAACCGAATCCATTTAGGAATTGGAAGCACGGAATCACTGCTGGTTGGAAGATTCCTATTTTCGGAATCGATGTCTATACAAGAGGAAACATGGGAGACGAGATTCCTATTTCTAGGAATAGAGATTCGACAAAAAAGAATCAAGATCTCTACATAGATGGAACAAGATTCCTAGCTCTTTGGAATCGACTAATATGGAATCGAGATTCCTTTATTTATCAAATCGAGATTCCGACATCTTTAGAATCGAGAGGGGAACGTACGGGAAACAATACATTTCTCGATGCTAGACATTGACTAACATGCTATACATGCACATTTATAGTATCTGTATTATATTATTTGTAACATCTTGGAGTTACAATCTCTCCATTGGATCAATACAATACATATTTAAAGAATTAAGTAGAGAACGTGGACCACCACTTTGGTTTCTATTCATCATTTCATGTCATAAAAGGTGACTATACCTTGTAACTTGAGATTGAGTATCTAACTCGATTACTTTGATGCACTGAAAACTTCTAAACATCACTTCTCAAAAAAGAAAGCAAAAGGAAAAAAAAGGGGGGAAGTGGTAGAATTCCGGTAAATGTGGAAACTAGTTTCAATAAGTGTAAAATCATGATTCACCAACTGCAGAATCGAGAATCGATAAATATTCGAAATGAGATTCTATTAGTGTTGGAATTGAGATTCCTAAAATAAGGAAATGTGATTCTAGATTTCACGGAAATGGGTTCCATGAAGATTCCTAGTCTGAATAGCTGGATTGGGGTTTTGAATCAGAATCAGGACCATCGGTGAGAGATTCGGGTAACTATGGTACAAGATTGCTTTCGCCATCCCTATGGTATTGTTTGAATGGTGCGTAATGCCCTTTGGCTTAAAGAATGCACTGCCGAATTTCATAATAAAATGGACAAGATCATTTACCCATGTTTTACTTTTCTGCAGACTGCAGTCTATATCCATGACATCCTAATTTTCAGGAAGGACCTAGAAAGCCATTTCAAACATCTTCAGTCCTTTAGAAAGGCGATAGAAACTGGCTCTTTGAGAAAAAATGAACATGTTCAATGATGAAATTGAAACCTTAGGAAAAAAAAATTAAGAATGGGAAGATCGAAATACTGGACCATTCCATTGAGTTTGCCTCTAAATTCCTGGACCAAATTCCAGAGAAAACTCAGCTTTAGAGTTTCTTGGGATACCTAAACTATGTGTCAGACCATACTCTGGCTTAGCCACAGACCAAAAAATTCTAACAGATTTCCTAAAGAAACAGTCTTAAAGACTATTTCATTAGAGAATCACGCTAAGGTCGTAGCCTGCATTAGAGAAAGGGTTCAGCAACTTTCGATTCTCGTCCTACCGGACGATTCGAAACCAAAAACTATTGACACCTATGTCGAATGGGGTGGAGTGCTCAAATAGAATGGGAGAAAAGGGAGAGGGATAATGCAGTTTGCGTTGTATTGTGGAATGATGTCCAAATCAAATATGCATTTTTGAAAAAGAAGTTGTCTTCCCTAAAAGCTATCCAGAAATTTCAAATTCATATCCTGAATCAACGTTTTACTGCCCAAGTCGACCAGGGAAAGTTAATTCTCCCTATTGAACACATTCCAGGGAAAATTAATTCTCGTACAGACTTCCTAACGAGGGAGTACTTCACTGGAGGAGAAGGCACAATTGGAATGCTTTGAATGGATGAATTGCAGAGCGAGTAGTCTAGCAATGATGAGAATGTGATAATCACCACCATACCATCATCAGAGTGCAGCGGCGATGCTTGGAGCATATTTGATACCCTGCTAAGATCTGACTGCTTCGGAGCCGAATGATGTGCACTTAGTTCGGCCGCTGCCAAAAGGTTGCTAATGCGAACGGGTATGCAGATATGACGCATCACTATGAAAATGGGGAAAACACAACATACATGATCAAACACGTTCCAGGGAAAGAGAATTCTCTTACAGACTTCCTAACTAGGGAATACTTCATTGGAGTATGCCAAATTGGAATGATGAGAAGGGATGAATTGTGGAGCAAGTGGTCTAGCAATGGCAAGGATGTGATAATCACCAGTTCACCACCATATCATCATCAGTGTGTAGCAGTGATGCGTGGAGCATAGCCAATGCCCTACTAAGGTCTGACTGCTTCGGAGCTTAATGGTCTGCACTTAGTTTGGCCCCTGCCGAAAGGTTGCTACTGCCAATGGGTTCTGTAGTTGTGAGGCATAAGAAAATGGGGAAAATCGAGATCCACTTTGTCTCCCCTAGGCCCCTCTGGTTTGACAAAGAATGGTGGCCCTAGTACGGAGTTCTGAGAAAAGCGTTGACTAAGGAATGGTTTAGAAGAATCATTCCTAGAAAACTAGGAGATGCAAATGCTCACAAAATTGTCTTTGCTCTCCATGAAGCTGTTGCCCTTGGATCTATAGGTGGAATTACAGGTTGAAGAAGGAGAGAAGTGTTCTGGGACATGAAAAAACAAAGTCTCTGGTACGAGTGCACTGCATAAGAATCTACAGTCATGAGTCCACCAAAGTTCTGCTGCCGCCTACTTGAAAACTAGCTCCAGAAAGGCCACTGAATGCCTTGCTTGATGAAGCTAGACGGAAGCTTAGAAGGAAGGAATGTTCAATAAATGGGAAGAAGACATGAAGCGGCGTGATTATTGGCAACGACAAAGGGGAATTGTGCTTGGAGAAAAGGCTCATGATTATTGGCAACAACAAAGGGGAATTGTGCTCGGAGAAAAGGCTCAATCAGAGCGATCAGAAGACTTGCCGGAACTGGAGGATCTGACAGGAGAACTTGTGGAAATGTCATCCTGAAGGGAAACAGTTGGTAGAGGATGAGACCCACATCGTATTTAGTAGATGGGCCTTCCTTTGCGTACAGTGCCATGTGATGCAGAATCTCTCTCTCTCTCTCCCCCCCATGCCCCCCCCTTTAAATTATTGTACCCTGTTTGTAAGTGTGTTAGTCATTATCATACCCAGTCGATGTTAGTCATTGTTATATCAGTCACTATAGTACCGCTAATGCTTCAATTATTATACCCAATCTGTCCTTGTCAGTCATTATTTTACTTGTTTTAGGGAATCTTTGTCCTTGTGATGGTACAAGATGTGTCCTTGTATGCGGTGCAATGATGAGGCCTCCATTATTATAAGGACCCCTCTCCACTCCTATAGAAAGGGTGTGCAAGGGATCTTGTGGGGCAATTCGGAATTTGAGTCATTTCTTCTTTCTTTCTCTATTCCGTTTTTCTAGCTTCTCTGTGGTTTGACAGAAAAAAGAAGTTCACCCGACCTCGTGGCCATTAATAAATTAACTAATGAATAGATAAAGGTTCCTACTTGCTTTGATGTTTGTGTGTGTAATGCTCTTTCACCTCTTCTCTTTCGAATAGCTCTTGAGACTCCCTGCATATGTTTATTACCTGTAAATCCCACCGAGTATTGTTAGGGTTAGGCAGCATAGGGATTAAGAGAAAACTGAACAAAAGGTTTAGGGCCAGTAAAGGGTATTCCAGTCCCATTATCGATCAGGGCATGTGATTAGGAAAAACCTAGTAGTTTATGATAATTTGGATTGTTGGAAAGTTGGAAATTGTGGCTAAAGTGGATTACCATTTCTGTTGACATCACTGGTATAGAGCTGGATTGGCTCATCATGAAGAGCTGTTTTGTATATATTTATAGAACACATCCTTTTCTCCCAATGGGAGAATGGTAGTTATTATGACTACATGGTAACATGTTCTCATGTCCACTGTTTGGTCTGTGTGATTAATCCTGTGGACTCATGTCTCTGTTCTTAAACTCTGCATCTATAGGTATTTGTATTGTGTTTGTCATGGAATGGAGAGGGTGCCACCCCAGGCCTCTGGCACCTTTGGACAAAGCGCCATTTCAGATTTTTCTTTTTTCCTCTTCATTATGGAAACAAATCTGGCAAAATGTGGTTGTACTTGTGTCCCTTTTCTGTTGCCATTATGTATCACAGTCCTATGAATCCTATGAGGGGAAGTTTAGTCATGCAATTAATATTATAACTTCTAAATCGCACTCTTTTGACTCTTTGTATTTTTATTTCAATGTCTAGAGAAGGTATACTATAATCCATATGATCGTAGAAAAGCTAATGGCATACCTTGGGTCATGTGATGCTCCTATGGGTCCCACTTTCGAACTACTGATGAATTGGATAGTTATAACACTTATGGCCGTAAATTTTCTATGATTATGTAAAGCATGGTCCTGATCTGTGTATTGAATTTCATTTTCAAAACCTGCTGCATCACATAACTCCTAGGGTTCAATTCCCCAACCGGTTAATGCTTCTCTAAAATTTGAGATTCACTGTTGAGTGTTATAGTGTGCATGTGTACTTCAGGGGTATTTATGTAGTGATCACATCCTCATCCTATTTGACCTAAAAAGTGTATCAGTCATTTCCTCGTTTTGACATGAATGATATGCATCTCTCTCTATGTTAGGAGGTGTTTCTCATTTTGGTGGTTTTGCATTGGGGAACATTGTTGACTAATGTGACATAAACTGAACTCCTAGGGTTCAATTCCCCAACTGGTCAATGCTTCTCTAAATTTTGAGATTCATTGTTGAGTGTTATTGTATTGTGTCCACGCGTACTTCATTGCTTTCTCATCTGGTTTGGCTTAAAAAGTGTATTTGTCATTTCCTCAGTTATTTCTCATTTTGGTCGTTTTGCATTGGGGAACATTGTTGACTAATGTGACTGGTAGGCCTTCAGTTTCCAAAAAGCTAGGGTTTGTGTTCCTCTTTTCTCTTTTTTAATTTTTTTTAAATTTATTAATTATGGTTCAATAGTAGGACTCGAACTTAACATGTAGAGGGGATTGTGCTCCTCTATAGGAATAAATTATCTTGGATTGCTCATCTAAGGTCTGGAGTAAAAGTTCTCCAAAATTTAGGGTTTGGAGATATTTTCAGGACATTTGCTCCTCAGATTGTAACCATTTACAAGAGGTTTCCAATACCATGTCCTTATGCTTGGTTTGGTGAGATTGAAATTGTGTGAAGAGGTTGGAAGATTTGTAGGAGAAATTACGACGCTATTATTATAACTTCTCCTGAGGTGGCGCAGTAGCAGTAAATAAAAACCTGTGTTTACAATAAATGAGCATTTAAGTAAACTCTGCAGAATCAGTGGGAATGTGTTCTTATCTAATGCATTGGGATACTTTGTGAATTGTGTTTTTCTCGTCACATTAAGGGTGGCTGAGAGCGCATCTGATTGGGGGCAACGAGGCATACCTAGAGGGAGAGCACATGATTCATCTCAGAAGAGGCTTTTTTTCACAATTGCACTTACTGGAATTGCTGTTTTGATCGGCTCCTTCTTCCTCCAAAGAAGACCACAAACCCCAGAGCAATAACATACCGGGTTCCCTTATTTAACTACTCTACTTAGTATTTGTATCAACTTAGAAGTTGTACGAGAGCTCTTCATCTCTTGTAAGTTGAACCTGTGAGATTAGTGGAGGCCTCAAATGAATTTCTGAATTACTTTTGTAAGGAAGCAATGAGAATCAGTGTGGGACAAAACCTGCTTCTTTTAAGAAGCTATGTGTTAAGTCTGATTATCCATGCATATATTTTGTATAATGGACTGGATTTGCGTTCGAGGAGTTGTAGTCAATGTGTCATTTGCTCATTTAGCGGTTGTTATGTTTTCTAAACAGTGCGTGGGCAGTAGGGCACACCACTGATTATGTCACTTTTAAGTACCTCTGTGACCAGAAATGCTATCCAAATGATATTTGAGGTGAAAATGGCACATTTTGAGATGATGAGGAAGCATCCGTTAATTTAGGAATTTGCAGTCTCAAACAGTTGAGAAACTTCGCCTCATAATAAAAAAAAGAAAAGAAGAGAAAATTATATATATATATATATATATATCTGCAAATTTTAAAGATATTTAAACCTTTAACTATATTTTTAGGTTATTTTGTGGGTGGCCTTTACTGCATTCCAAAATTCTGCCTTAGATTTTGAAGGCCTGCAATTTTATAAGTTTTCGCAACTTAAAAATGCGAGAACGATTTGCGCCCGCTAAAAAAACACACACTCTCTCTCTCACCTTACAAACTCTCTCCTCATCTCTCTCTCTCTCTCTCCCGTGCTTCCCCAAAGGCTAAATTCCCCAATGCGTTCCCCTTAAAAGAGTGCCCCAGCTTTGTCCGCGCAGCTTTCCCCAAAACATCATCTCCTCCCTCCATATACGCCCCATTTCTCCCAAATCCCCAACTTCTCCCGCTCTCTCTCTAACTTGAGATCTTGAGCTCGAGGTTGTGGAGTAGGGCTGGTAATGGTCCGGGCTGGGCCTGTTCAGGCCTTTGGGCCGGGCCAGGTCTCCATCCATAGCACTTCTTAATGGGGTGGGCCAAATTGCCCTGGAAAATCCTTAAATATGTCCGATATGGCTGCTGGCCCAGCAAGCCCTGAGCCAAATAAAAAGCCCGCCTTGCCCATTAAGACATTTCATTTTATTTTAAATCTTCACCCTTAAAACTTTTTTTTTTTTTTTTAAGTCAAAAAAATAAAATAAATATATATTAAAATATTTTGGGATTGTATATAATGAAATTATTTACCTTTGATCGGAGGAGGGTCACAATTATTTATAACCATCCAATATTAAATCTAATAGATTGGGTGTGGTATAAATTTCAAAAAAATTATTTTGAAGTTTGTGCATAGTCAATGGAATAAATTCAGCCATCTAATTTCACATCCAACGGTCAAGATTAATTGTACTAAAGGTAAATGGTCTGATTATATCGTCCAAATATTTGTTAGAAAACTTAAAACCCATTCTCCATCGCTAGAAACCTAATAAGTCTCTCTCTCTAAAAATCCATTCTTTCTCTATCTAGAAACCTAATCTCTATTTCTCTCTCTAAAAACCCACTTTCTAAAAACTCATATCCTCTCTTTTGCCCTCAAAAAACCCAATCTCTTTTTATCTCTCTAAAAATCCATTCTCTCTAAAAACCCAATCTCTCTCTAAAAAACCACTCTCTCTCTAGAAACTCAATCTCTCTTGCTCTCTCTCTCTAAAACCCCATTTTCTTTCTCTCTCTAAACCCAATCTTTCTATATATCTCTAAAGCTCATTCTCTCTCTAAAAACCTAATCTCTCTTTTTCTCTCTAAAAATTCATTTTCCGTCTCTAGAAACCCAATCCATCTCTAAAAACCCAATCTTTCTTGGTATTTATAAATACCTATTCTATCTCTAGAAACACAATTTCTCTCAAAACTCATGCTCTCTCTCTACAAACCCAATATTTCTTTCTGTCTCTAAAAACCCAATGTCTTTCTCTCTCTAAAAATCATGCTCTCTCTAAAAACTCGTTATCTCTCTTTAAAACTCAATCTCTCTTCTTCTTTCTAAAAATTGATCTCCCTCTCTAAAACTCATTTTCGTTCTCTAGAAACTCAATCTCTCTTTCTCTATCTAAAAACTATTTTAGCATATGTTTTTTGTTTTTTGCTTACTATCAAGAAAAGTTTGAAGCATAAGAAAAAAAAATAAAAAAAAAAGAATCTCAATGGGTCGGTAGTCTTAATTTTAAGGAATAAATCTTTTTTACCATGTTTAATTAATACATGAAAATTTAATTATAGAAATTTGAAATAACAATACTGCCATATTTTTAAACAAAAAAAATAGTAATTTTGATTTATGTTAGATTCAATTTTTAATTAAATGTCTATTGTGAATCGCAACTGATTTTTTAAACTCAAACTTTAATATTTTATAATCCCATTAGTAGTATTATTATTACATATGGTTCGCTCAGTTTTTAATTTAAGACATGGTTTCGATGCATATTCAAGAAAGGCGGGCTTGGCAATAAATGAATTGTTAAAATGTAACTTAATTCTAATTTTTAAAGAATATATAGTCTTTAACAGGAGATCATGAATATAAAAAAAATAAATAAATTTGAAAACTATAAATAATAATTAGGGAAAATTATGTAAATATTTGTTAAAGTTTGCGTTATTACCAAAATAGTAAATTGTTTCCGTTACTACTGGCATGTCTCTTTTTTTCACTTCATAACGAATTTTTTTAAAAAAAGGCGATTTTATCTTTTTTCGATTTTATAAAAAACCAAAATGATTGGAATTTCGGTTTTTCAAAAACCAAAATGAGACTTATATTGGTTGTTGAAAGACCGAAAAAAGCCTCGATAGTTTAAAACTTTCTTCCCTCTGCTCTCTATGTCTCACGCTCTCTGTGGGAAACCTCACACATTCTGCTCTACCGCATCTGTCAAAAAACCTCTGTCACAAAAATGTAACCCTATATTACAAGCTCTGGATTTTGACGGTATTTCTCGGATTTTGAAGGTATTTTATGGATTTCTGATCTATAGTGAAGGTATGTATATAATGATTTGTGGATCCATTTTAGAAATTTAAATTGTATAAGATTTTGATTTAGGGTTTCACACTTGAGTACATAATGTTCATTTAGAGTTTATTTGACGGACTTCACGGTTGTATAAGCATGAAAATGTGTTTCCGTGATATTTGGGGTTTTTAAGAACTAGGAAATTGGGTTTTTTTTTAGAACTAGAAATTTATATACGCTATTGAGTATCTTTTTAGCATAACATTTTAGTGTATGTGAGGAAATTTACAAAATTGTGATTGACCATGACTGTGAGGTAACACATTTGCATATATTGTTGATGTGTTGCTTCGTTTTGACGGGGCAAATTTTTCATTATATTGTATTGTGTGTTTTGATACTCTTAGATAGTTTTAAATACAGATTTGTGATAAATATAGTAATATCTTTAGAGAGGGTTGATTTTTCCTGTCGATAGATTGAGTAGCTTAAAAATAAAAATTTGTATCTGATTTATGATGTATGCATTGAGCATTTTGCAAATACTTGTGGTTTTAGGAGTATATAGGAAATAATAACTTTATGCTTCATACTTCAATATTTTGGATTAGAATAATTCGTGACTAGATTTATTTGAGAGCTCATTCGATATGTGCATTTGTGATCACCTAGTTGGAGGTTTAGTATGTGACTTAGCATTGTTTTATTGATTCTATATGCAAATGCGTCATGAGGTCTTGGTATCTCGATATTTATTCCTTTGTATTTTCATATTCTTTTCATAGAGTAGCGCTTGTTGTTGTAATGGTTAATGGTAAAGTGAGGAAAATGATGATAAGCCAAATATGGGACTTGTATTAGAACCTATATGTTGAGTTGAAGAGCTCCATAACACTAGGTTATAATCTAAAACTGACCATCTTTTCCGTTTAATGATAGCATGTCATTATTGTTCATCAGTTATCTAGTTAAATTTTACATATGTAACCTTATAATTAACATGGTGACCATATGGGGTTTCAGTGAATATGAATCGTATCCATCCAGATGATGAATATGTAGGAGCTCCTCAAGACCCTAGTTTGCTACAGTTGCATCCAAAACATTTATCTTATTACATTTGGGAATGACATGTATATATATATATATATATTCATTTCTCTTTCCATTAGTTTGTTATTTTTCAATAAATTGTAGTTTGTTTAAACGTCGTACAGGAAGTACATGTATATGTACTATGACCCATATATTTTCTATTTGTTGTATTCTAGGAAAAACAAGAAATAAGAGTTGATGCAAAAACACTTCAATTAAACGATTGACATCTAACCAATGAGCAAGTTTAATTAGTGAACATGTCAAGGTTAGGTGCTCTATCTATTATCCGGCTAGGGTGAGTAGATCATCCCTTGGTTGCAGCCAATATATAGAGGTGGCATTTTGAGACCAAATCTTTTCATTATAACATTCAAATTGGTGAGATGACACCTACATTATTTGATGCTTACGAGATCTTGGGACTGGCTGTGGATGGCGAATTTGTTACATGTCGTCCAGGTAGTGACCTCCTAGAGTTTATAAAAAACAATTTGGGTATAGTCCCCACTAGAGGCAACTTGGCAGTCATCAAGTACGCATAGTTGAAGGCCAACTTTCATCAATTGCCACCTGATACAACCTATGTACAAGTTTTTAGGTATACTTGAGCCTACCTGTTCTTCCTCATCAGTGTCACCATTTTCTTAGATCTATCACAGGCAATGTGCCAACGAGGTATTTACAATTCTTTGAGGATATTGAGGAAGTCAACAGATATACTTGGGGTGTGAAAGAAAGACCTATGTGATCTTTTACAGGGAAATATATATATATATATATATATATATATATATATATATTACCCTTTCTTTTGGCAAAAGATCACTTACAGGTGGTCTTTATTATAATAAGATAAATTTCAAAATAAAATCAACATAACAATAAAACCAAGATCTTAACAATTTGGTGCCATTGAAACAACTATGCACTATGCTTGAGAATAAAAGATAAGATTGCAAGAAACAAAAGGAAGAGTGCCAGAGATTACCTTAACCAGACTTATTACACCCCACACCGAGTCACCACCATCTGATGGTGCGGGATCAATGCTCTAGCTTCAATCTCGAATTGGAAAAACAAATTTCGGCCAAGCCACACCAATAGAACATGAATCCCTTTGATCACAAACTCAAACCCTAGGTGAATTCTCTTAGCAACCTAGTTTGAGAGAGATGGATTTTCTTTTTG